ATTAAGTTGACATGGATAACATTGCATAGCTCCGCTGCCGTTACTTTTCATATTTGAGGGGCATAGAAGGCAAGGTCCAAAACTTGTTGTATTTCGTGCAGTACCTGGAATACACGGTGTGGAAGTGTAAATCATAATACTGGAAAAACCATGTTCGATCTTTGATGAGCAGCTTCCCGACAGACTAGCAGGTAGAATATAAGCAATACCAGTATCAAGTACCAACGCAATATGTTCTTGCCATGAAGCAAGAGTCAAAATAGTAGGAGGCACTGATTTTGTATTACCAACTGGAAATATTTGTTGATTGTTAGGATAAGTGAATAAAGGAAACTTATGTTGTTGAACATCCTTCCGAGAATATACCTATTTGAAGCAGATATAGTGTACGAAGAGATTATATGATTGTAGGTGGAGGTGTGAATGAAAGTGAAGAGAAGTATCACCCACAATCGTACTGTGAAGATGCTAGTTATGACATAGGAGCCATATTTTAAAGTGAAAAATCTTCGCATTTCCTGCCATTTCAGATAGAGAATAGTTTTAAGATATGTTAAAAAAGGTTACAAGACTTTGTGTTGCAGAATTATGCTATCATTTATGATCGACTTCCAATATTTTCGTATCGAACACCATCATTTCTGCAAAGTTAATCCAAAAAACTTCAGTGGAATCAGATCGTTTCTATAGGTCGAACTTATTGATCGAATCAATGAGAGTAGTGCTTCAATCTTCAGTATAGCTTTTCGACCGTTACAAGCTGGAATGACACGAGAAAAAATAGAACTCGACCAGAAAAACATCTCGTTTTCATCATATCCCAAGGCCTAAATCGTCGTCTCTAAAGTGTTAGGCTTGTTCATACATAGTCAGAGTAGTGACCCTGAATATATTTGTAGGAAGCATAAGTGCCTGTCTAGTGTTCTCAAACGATATAAGATCGACAGAAATCTTCTGTTTTAAGAGTAACAAAGCAAATAGATAGAGTTCAGTGTACATGTAGAGTCTATCTAAGCCAAGCAAAGAAATTTCATTTGAGATAGACATTAACATGAAAGCCAATGAAAGTGGTTATCGTTAGTCTTAATAGGATGATCAGTCGGACTTCATGCTGAGAAAATATGACTAATTGAATCAAAATACGTAAATGAATTCTGTGTCTACTGAAAAACATAACATTTTATGCAGAATGAAGGATTTCTGTTTGAAAAAATGTTCATATCTTTTCTTTGTTTTAAATAATTTGTACTATATATAATTTAAATGATTATCCAAGCAGTAAATTATACATAGACACCTGTCATATATGAATGAAAACAATAGAAGAACAGATACAATAAATACCTTTTTCAAGAGTTTTATAAATTTCAAAATTAGATCATTTCAACAATAGAATAAAGACGAAATACATTATCCTTAACAAGTATTTTTCTTATATTCAACCGAATATTTGATTCAATCAAATACAACATTTATTTGCAAGCAAAGATAGAGTCTATTATCAGATTATTGAAACTGTCGAAGGACGTACTCAAGTTTTATATCAAACAGTTCAGCTAGAGATCGATGTCTATTGCAATATAGACTAATGATTATCGTTGCTCGGAATGTATTAAATTATCTATATAGGTTAGGGCCCTGTAATTCTATTGGAATGAGTGCTTTTATTGTACAATCAACTTATTTACTGTAGGTTAAACAATTCGAAAAATGATTAATGTTATCTCACCTGTATTTGCGATTGTGACCATGGTAGAGTCGGTTTTGCGTGAGCAAGTACAGCATATGTATTTTCATCTAATAATGCAACTGATTTACCAAATCCAATACCAAGCTGTTCTGAAACATGTTTTCCTGTAATCTTGGAATAGTATGATTCATCATAAACTAAGAAAAGAACTGTATCTATTCGAGGAATGCCAACGAGTATCGTATGTGATGACTCATCAAGAGCAATAGACATTGTTGTCACGCGATTGATATCTGCTGCACCAATACCGTAATTGAATGTTGAAAGCTCAAGATGTAAAGATTTTGTGGCATTTTTTAATTCTCGAAAATTCAAAACGACTAAATAGGTATGAAATTGATTGATCATAGCCATATGTAATTGACCGACAAGAAAAATCTGATGATCTTTGCTAATAGTAATTGCCTTCGGGTAATACTGAAATATGTCACCATCCCACTCACCATATACAACTCTTGTGTCGAATACCCAAGTTTTCATCGTTACTAGATCAATACAAGAACCATTAAATTTTCCAATTGAATATGCTCGTGTCCCATATGGATCCATAGCAACAACAGAGTCTTCCAACACTGGATACTCTGTCAAATCTAATGCTAGACTTCGATTTTGAACCAGACAGCCAGAGGAGCTATCTTCAAGAAAAACGACTGTTAAAAACACGCGACGTAAAAAGTCCTCATCCATAAAAGTGAATGCAAGATGACTACTATTTTGTTTTGCTCCAATAGCTACACTATATACGAAATATGTCGTCGATATTGGAGGATGTCTGATTCTGATATAGTCTAACGTACAATTCCACATCGAAGAACTATTATACGGCTGTTTTACAAGAATAAAACGTGCTTTATCATTTTGTGCAAATATTGCTACATGTTCATTCACTGCGAAAAGTGGTCCATAACTATCATATTCACGATAATTAGTTGGAGGTCGTTGTGCCCAATACATACGAATACAATTCATCATAATTAATATCGAAATCATATACATGAAATTCATTATGTTTTAATAATGAATTTTTAATCTATAATACTAAAGAAATAGAAAGTAACTTAACATAAAATAATT